ATATAGATATAGTATATATATATAGTATATATATTGGGTGAATGTGCAGTAGTAGCAGCAAGCAGGTGAATTCTGTACATTAATGTGAATAGACATTTTCTTACCTGTTTTGTATATAAGCTCTGCTGCTTAAGCCAAAATCTCCAAAGATCCAGAGAGCTGGAGCCACAAACTTTTCTGTTCTGGCAGCGTTTGCTCACAGCTCGCTGTGCATTTAACACTATCTGTGCTGTGAAGCCTGGTGCTCACACAGTCATGCTGGGAGAGGGACTTTCTGCAGGAGTCACTGAGAGGGTTGTAAGAACAGAGAGAGCCGTGAACTGGTCTAAATACAAGCAGAAGTGCTAAGAAAAGTAAAATCTTCATCATTTGTTGTTTCTAATTTGTGTGATTTATTATTATTTTTTGTTTTTTAAATTGATAGGGTTTAGGCAGCTTGTAATTAATAAGCAGTTCTTTTTTTAATTTATAGAGAAAAGAGACCCTGCTGAAGGAATACAAACAGAAGAACAGATGCAGCAAATTTATTGACAGACGTTTTGGAGAGTATGACACCAAGATGGCACCCGAAGACAAAATTCTCCAGAGGTTCACGATGGAGAGACAGGTCAGTGATGCGATGTGTTTATTGCTGCCTGAAAGGACACATTGATCATCAGGTTGTGAAATAAAGAATAGATAAAATAAGCCAAGCATTTAGTGATTAACATGATTTCTTTCTTTTTTGTGTGTGTTACTTTCGTCATTGTGGATATAGCATCAGTCGTTTACTTAATCAATGTGTACATCCTCCATAACTCATTAGATTTGCTATAAACCAGTCATGATGTGATTCAAGTCCAGACTTGAGAAGTTTAACAAAAAACCTGCATTTAACTTTTTGTGAATTTCAGACTTTTTTTTTTCTTTTTCCCAATTAAAAAAAACCAAAGTCTCGTCACTTCCTTTTTATGGCCTGAAATGTTGATTCTAGACCTCTTAGTGAAAGAAACGCCTTGAATATACAATCTGACAAGGACACAAACAACTGGAGACATGACAGCTGAGTAGTTGTTTCTATCAAACTTATTTTGAAGTTTGCCGCATGCATAGATGGTGCATTGTAACGTAAAGCTCAGGTTTGAGGACCCATTCACTGTGTGATGATGAAATTTACATAACTCCCTAGTGGACTCAAAAATGAGAGAAGTAGAGTCGAGGCTTAAGTGACTAAAAAATCTGGTGCATTCTTAAAAAGAGGAAGTATACAGGCCAGCTCTGGACTGGTCAGAAGACCACAGAAGAAGAGTAAAATAGAGGATTATGGTCACATAGCCTACTGATTTCATGCCATCTGTGTGTGCTGTTTACTTACTAAAGAGAAAACTGGATACAGGAAGACCCACAATTGCGCAGCATCTGAAGGTGGCTTCAGTAAAGGCCTGATAGATCAATTTTTAGTTTTTCTAATTCCTTTAGAGCCTGTATAAACTAAATGCAGTTTATTCTTCATTGCAGCCTTGGCTCACTTCTAATCTATCACAGCATAATAACGACTGTGTTTAAATACTTGTTGACCTAACCGGTCATGTTAATACTAGACTTACAGGCAAAGATTTGTCACTTCTTTTGTCCAAGCTGCATAATGAAAAAAGTGAAAATAAACTGGCTTGTGCACAGATGTACCAAACCTACACCTTCTGTTACTTTGTATTTTATTATTAGCGCGTCCATGAGAAGAAGGACGTGTACAACCTGAATGAGGAGGAAGAGCTGACTCATTATGGCCAGTCTTTGGCTGAAATGGAGAAATTCAATGATGTTGTGAATAGCGATGATGAATCAGAAGAAAAGGGTCTATTGTCTGGTGAGTCTGAGTGCCAGATGAATGGATTTTTTCCACATCTACATGGTTCTTATATTCCTGTTGTACCTTGAATCCATTTTCATTTAAATACTTTGATATTTTAATAGTCACTGTTTGTTATCCTCCAGATAAGCTCACCTTGATATGGGGGGAATTAATGTTAATTAATTTTCCTGCATATTCCCAAACATGTTGCCCATCTTTTTTCATTCCCAGCCCACAGCTTGGAGTGAACACGAGTGTTATTATAGATGACAGAGCTGGCATTTATTAGTGACATTATTTTTCTTTCACACCTAGCTGAGCTCACTGCGTCCCACTTCGGAGGAGGAGGTGGTCTCCTCAGGAAGAAGGCATTGGGGGAGGAGGAGGAGGGAGGCCAGAGGGCAAAATCCAGGCAGGAGCTCATTGAAGAGCTCATCCAGAAGTCCAAGCAGGAGAAGGTAAGGCTTCGGTCCTGCTGATGGATTTTGGCCCATGCTGCCTTTGCCTGTCATATTGTTGCACATTACAGACTTTGCTAAACTGCTAAGGGCTGATGTCTGGGGCTTGTTTTCAGAGGGAACGCCAGGTGCAGAGAGAGGAGGCCCAGGAGCTGACCGAGAAGCTGGATCAAGACTGGAAGAACATACAGTCTCTGATGGTGAAAAAGACGCCCAAAGCTGACAAACAGGAGGAGAAACCCAAAGTAGGAATACACAAATGAGTCTGCAAAAAGACCATTCCACCCAGATGTGTGTGTGTGTGTGTGTGTTTTTTGTTTTTTTTTGTAATAAATACCTTTTGCTTCATGTTTGTGTTTTCTAGCTGGAGGAATATGACATGATGGTCAGAGAGCTCGGCTTTGAGATGAAGGCTCAGCCCTCAGAGAAGATGAAAACTCCAGAGGAGCTAGCCAAGGAAGAGAGAGAGAAGCTGCAGAAACTCGAGGTACATTTGCTCTGTGGAAATTTGCCTTGTTGTCTGCAGCTGTCAAGCACTTTGATATTATTGTCTGTGAAGGTTCTCAGTCATCCAGGTCATCGTAGTCAAAGGAGCTTGCAAAGAAAAGCGTCTGGACTTCTTTTAAGTTGCAACTTAAAGAAGTCCAGATGCTTTTCTTTGCAAGCTCCTTTGACCACTTTGATGTTAATCACCTGATCTTTCTTTGTTTTTTTTCCTTTTTAATTGAAATCAGATTTTATTCTCAGTCTTTAAAAAGAGCAAATACCTCTTGATAGACACATCATTTTAATGCAAAGACATCAGTGTCCCAATAAATCGAGCTCTCAGCTAACAGGAGCCACGTAGAAAAGATGCTGGAAAGCCACATTGTAGCATTATACGATGCAGCTCTTACATTTTGACAGGAGAAGTAGCTTCTTGCTCTTATGACAGTCACGTCAAAGGCAGCATTCAAATGCGGTTTGACCTTGTGAGATCTAAGTACCTGTAATCCTTAACCCCTTCCCTATCCTATCAGAATCTGTGATTAGTTTTTCTCCTTTCAAAAGTCTTCCCCTAAGTTTGGGAATCATGGGACAATGTAACTAACAGAAACCAATAACTGTACAGGTTTTCCAAAAAAAAGCAGCTTTGCTGTTCTCCAGATTGCAGGGTTTTGAGTTACGGTCACCTGAGATCGCCTTGAGATTTTACTTTAATGGTGAATTTAATTAGAGAAGTAATTGATAACGACCAGTTGCCATCTTCTGATCTTTCTACAGGCTGACCGTCTCAGGAGGATGATGGGAGAGGAAGTCGTGGAAGGTGCACAAAGTCAGATTCACTTCTCTGCTGATGACCTCAATGACGGCTTCATTCTGGATAAGCATGACAAGAAGACTCTGGCTTATCAGGTGTGAGACGACACAATGCAGAACAGTTTTGTTACTTTGGGTTATTCCTCCTAGTATGACTGTTGATTTTTATCTTAATGTGTTATTCCTGTCCATAGGATGGAAAATGGAACATGGGGGAGGAGGAAGAAGAAGATGAGGCTGAAGATGAAGAAGGAGAGGGCGAGAGCAGTGAGGAACAGGAATCGGATGCAGAGGAGGATGAAGTTGAGGAAGAAGAAGAAGAAGAGGAGGAGGAGGAAGAAGAGGAGGGAAGTGGTGAAGATGATGGCCACTCAGACCTCGAGTCTGAGGAAGAAAGCGAAAATGAGGAGGAGGAAGAGGCCAGTCCCAAGCCGAAGAAGACTCTCAGCAAAGAGGAAGTGAAGGTCCAGCAGGAGGCAGCCAAAGCAGAGCTCCCATACACATTTGCTGGTACCAGAATTTATTACTCATTAAAATAATTTTTTTTAAAAAAAGGCAGATTAGTGTCATGTTTAGTTATAGTTAGTTCTTTCCCTTACAAAATATCCAATACTGTATTGTTCTTCTTCTTCCTCTCACAGCCCCTGAGAGCTACAACGATCTGAAGGATATGCTACGTGGTCACACCTCTGACAACCAGCGCCTCATTGTGGCCAGAACTCAAAAGAGCAACCACCCCAGTTTGGCTGTAGGCAATAAACTCAAACTGCAGGTACAGTTACAGAGTGGATGTGGATGTGGATGTGGATGTGGATGCACATGTGTGATGAGTCGGCAGCTTTCACCGTTATGTGAATTCACAGAGCTCTCTCTGTTCCAGAAACTTTTTGGCTTTCTGTTGGAGTACATCGGAGAGCTGGCCACTAGGAGTCCACCTGAACTTAGCACCATTGATAAGCTCATACCGTGAGTTCAGAAAGAGGCTTCAAAATATTTAGTCCTTGAAATAAAGACATTTCTTTACCTTTTGCAAATCTCTCTGCAGCGAGGTGTACGCTCTGTGCCAGATGTTTCCAGATGCAGCCTGTAAGGCTATGCAGAGCATCCTCGGAGATGCCGCTCATAGCATGGAAGAGACACTTGAGGTCAAAGGTCACGCAGCTTTCCCTACACTAGACATGGTATGAATTACTTACTTTGATTGTGGTAAATGTTTGATGTTCACAGTGGTGTTTATAGATTTTGGAGTCTTTAAATGTCAGCTCATTCAGGGACTGACTGATTCGTAGGCCTGCGCCATTCTCGCTTCAGGTAGAATCAATGCTTTAATCAATGTTAAGACCTTCCAGTGTTATATAAAGAAAACTAGTGATTCATCTTTAAGCAATAGAGCTTCTTACAGTTTGATTTCATCCCAGCTGATTTTGATCAGTGCTTGTACCGTGACCTCTTAACACACTACACAGAACTTTTAACTCAGCTGCACTGCGTGCGTGAGTGAGTAATACTGCCATGTTAGTCATGAGAGGCTGATTGAAAGTACTGGTTCTAAAATGTATATATTTCTAAAGAGCAGGTAGATTCTCTCTATATAATCTGTTAACTTATTATCATTGTCTCTGAATGATGGATTGAGCAGTGGCCCATTTCCTGTTGTGGGGATCATTGTGTGTCAGGCTATGATGATGAGTAGGCCGCAGTGGTTGCACTGAAACAAAGTTTAGCCTGGTTTAAATGGTTTCTTTAGTAATTTGATTTAGTTTTGATGAAAAATCAATCTGCACTGTAAATATTGCTCACTAACCCACTGCTGTGATTAAAAGGGGAATAAAATGAGAGTTGACTGCCAATCTGTTTAAAGGCCTGTTATTTGTGCCTCCGTCGCTCAGTCATCCCTCACAGTAAAAGCCAGCAAGGCATGCTGCGAATCATTCACTCTGCTGCCCTGAGCCTGGGGTAAGAACTGAAGAAGAGCTGGATGAGCTTACAGATCCTCTCTTTGCTCATCTGATTCTGGCAACTCAACAATCAGACACTGTTCAAACTGATATTAGTCAAAATGTAACTAGGACTGTGTAGAAGTGCAACTGTTTTCTTAAAAGATTTAATAGATGTTTAACGTTTGATGTGTTATGTTCAGGATTTAAGTGAATGCTTTGGACTTTGTCCCAGATGTTTTTAAAGTAGGATTAATAAAATGAATTCTCTAATGTAAAGACACTTATTATTGTATATGTTGCACCATCATTTGTATATTTCCTTATTTTTTAAGCTCATCTACCTTAAGGTGACAGCCCTGCTGTTTCCTACCTCAGACTTCAGGCACCCAGTTACAACTCCAGCGCTGCTTTTCATCAGCCAGGCTCTCACCAAGGTACACACAGACATTTTAATATTTTTACATATCTTTTAATATCTGTGTTGTTTGAGCAGTTTGGGATCTTATCGAGTGTTGAACTTGCCTAGCTGCTACCGTGTGTGTGTGTGTGTGTGTGTGTGTGTGTGTGTGTGTGTGTGTGTGAGATTGATTAATTACTTTTCTGTGGAACTTCAGAAAACAGTTGCTGTTAAATGTCAGGAGGCCATCACATTGAATCCTGGTAGTCCTTTCTATGTTACCAACAGACATACACGAACACACGTGCACATATTTTGTCCTTTCCAAACACACACGAATGCTTACCCACACATCACTTGAGGCTTATCCTGAAATGGCCCCTGACCTCCTAACTGTACATCAAAATTGTTTCTGGGTTCCACTCTTCCTCACTGTCATTATCATCAGGTTGACTGCCTCAGTGAGTGCATGGTCCTCACAGGGATAGGAAACATGCAAACATGTGTATGCTTATATTCTGACTCACCATTCTAGTCTGACATTCTATACTGTAATTAACTGACCTGTCAAATGTACAAATCTATATGATTGTGGGTTTGTATAACATATTTGTATATGCGATTTAGATATTTCATGTTATTTCTGCAAACTTTCATCAAGACATGTCTTCTCATGTAGGAGGAAATAGGCAGCACATACACATGCATACTATCTTTATAGTATGACGA